TTGCCTTGGGCGATCTCACGGACCAAACCATATTAATTTTTTTTTTTTTTTTTTTTTTTTTTTTTTATGAAAACTGCCAGTAAATATATATTTTTCTGCGAGATTTTCTGAATTGTGTTTTAACAGTTCTGTCACAGCCACAGCACTGTCGTGAGGAATCAGATCACACGTCTCGTACCCTGCCAGACTGCCACTGTGGCTGGAAACTTCAGAAGAACCACAGTGAGCCCAGCAATGGGCAGGTGCCTGAGTTCCCCTGCTTTAGCATGCTGGTCATGGCTGGGTCTTGCTATACTTCTTTACACAGAGATACAGAGGTGCCTGTGCCAGATGTTCTGACTTGTGGGTCAGACCAGAAAGGGCTACAGAGATCTACGGCAGGGTCTGCAGCAGAAGGTTGGGCCAAGGACCTCTCTGAGTACAGGCCTCCATCTCCAGCCCTGCTGCCTCAATGTGCGCTATTTGGGAAGCTGGCATGGACCCCAGCTGGGGAGAAGGTACACCGCATGGGCAACAGGAGTACATTCCAGTGGAACCAGCATCAGGTTTGCTTTTCCACTCACACACAACCCTGTGTATGGTCAGACAGAATCTTCTAATCCATTCTGTGACAAGATATTTATGAAATCACTTGCTATTTCTTCCTAACTTCCAGCAGTTAATGGGAGAATTAGGCTGTGATGTACAAAGGTTTGTTAGTTTCCCTTCATGGCCTTAAAATTTTTATCATTTGTTGAATAGCTGTTGATAGCTTTTCTATCTACACAGATGCTTAATCCTTTTCTGAATTATTTTAAACTCTAATCCCACATGAGCTCCCCTTAGCATCTTACCTTATATTTTCACTAACTGACCCTTCCTTGTATGTCACTGAAAGGTGAATACCAGGACTTGGTTACCTTTACCAACTGCCATTTTGCAGTCTTCCATCAAGGTTTCTGCTTTCTCATTAAATTAACAGTCCTATTCTTTCAAACAGTAAAACTCTCTGCCTTTTCAAAGGGAGATTTCTAGAAGGGAAAGCACCAGTGAGTGAAACAAGGAGATGGAGAAAATGGCAGCCTTCCCTACTGAAATGTGCCAAGAGAGAGGATGAAGATATGACTGCATGTAGAGAGAGTGACCTGAGCATGATGTAACTTGGCATCACACCCAGCTCACTGCTACATGGCAGGCTCCTACAGGGATTTTGGGTCCTGCTCCCTATGGTGTGAATTGGTGTAGCTCCACTGAAGCCAAAGGTGTTGCGCTGATTTATACCCCCAGCGCAGCTACCTCAAACCTTGTCATTAGCACAAAAGACCCATTCATCTGTTCAGACTCTCAGAGACATGAAGCCTGCACCTTTTGTGCTATTTATAGTCATACAAGAAGGTGGGGGGTTTTTTTGCCTCCTAAAATGAAGGCACAGAGGGGATGCAGCATAAATCCATTAGTGGAGTAAACACCAGAGATGAATTTATCAATTAGAGAAAAGCTTTGGCACAAGAATGAATGTGAATGAAGTGGCCATGAATAAAATTAGAGAAAATTTTCTAGTCACCAAATCATTGGGTTTCTGGAAAAAAGAGAGAAAGCAAGAAACAGTGGAGAGCATCAAAAATGTCTATAAAGCACTCAATTAATGGGATACATGGAGTGGAGTCAGTAAGAAATGGGGTACAATAGTCTGGGAGTCTCTTCCAGCCCTGCATGCCCACAAGAGAGAATACCTTAAAAAGTACCCAAAATATATTTTCCTCTGATTTCAGCCAGTGAGTAGAACTAGCTAAAGAGGAGTGGGGAATGGTTAGTTAGACAAGCAATCCTCTATATTTTTAATCTGTTGTTTCTATAGGTCATAGTAGAGCTGCTGCAGCTGAATTTTTATACAGGTAACATGTCTGAATGTTTGAGCCAACTTGTAAGGGAGCATGGAAGGACAAAGGTTCAAAAGAAGGAGCATCCACTAAAGTCAAGGAAAAACTTCCACTACTTCAGATATTTAAAGTGGGGGTTTACCTTTTCCTCACAACCTATGGTTTTTGTGTCCCACATTTAGCAATCACTGAAATTACTGTGCTCATTACTGTGTTCACATTTCTTCTTGTTCTTCAATTTTGTATGAGATGAACATGCTCCCATTCTTTCTAACTATCTGTACACCTGACAACTCTACTACCCATAGCAGCTTGTTCTGGGGATTTAACATGGGATAAACAAATGCTGTGTTTTTGTTCATAGGTAGCCAGAATTACTCAAAGTCAGCAGTCACTGCTGAATGACTCAGGCTTGAAACCAAAGGAAAAAGGCATATGATTTCTCCTCATGACAATGCAAATTTAAAGCTTTATTTCCCTACTGCCAAGAGAAAAATTTGTGTTTATCAAGGTGCCTGGTGAATTTGATAAAGCAGATACTGGTAAAAGTACTGGGGAGAACAACAATCACACCTCAAGTCTACATTCCAGTTCACACCACATATTCCAGTTCAATGAGGGTTTAAACTATAATTGTTCGTGCAGCGCTAAATACGCCTTACCTCTTAAAGTCCAAACCTTAAATCTTGAATCTTAAAGTTCAAATTCAAACCAATACCTCTTGGCATTTTTGAGCTCAGAACCTGTCAGTGATTTTCAGACACCTTAAACACTCATTAGCTTACTGGAAGCTATGCTTATTAGACCACTGACCTGATTTTATCCCAGCTTTAAGAAATATCTAACCAGATAATTAAGCACTTACTCTTATGTACTCAAATGTAGAAATCATGATCAGGTTTCTTGGATGAGTAAGGCTTCTTGTTTAATTAAGGAAAACAAGGTTAGGTATACGTACTCAGGTGGATGGACACACAAAAGTTAAGCTAATATCCTGCTGGGTGTATATGCCATTGTTCAGCAAAGAACACTGTGGGAGCTTATTTAAGCTACAGACATTAAAAACAATTACTGTTAAATGGAGTTCATTGGACTTCATTGGGTTTTTATGAAGAGGAGAGATTATTAGTCATGTTAAGATCACGCACTAAAAGGTGTGAAAATATTTTTTGGTTAACAGTTTATTTTAGGGACGGATTCAATTATCACTGAATTGTGATGGTAACGCCGTGGGAGCAGATGTGGCAACCACAGTTGTGCAAGCGGCAATCTTGATAAGGCCGGCTAATGAAATAAAGTTGTACCATATACCAATACTTTTGTATTCTAAGGTTTTAATCATTTCACATCAAGCATTAATGAAAACCATTGTTATAGCACTGCCATTGCTAAAGAAAAGAGAATTTGAATGCTTAATACCATGTGTATAACAGAAGGCGGAGCCATAGCAAAGACAGATGAGAGAGACTTCATCCCAAAGGTCTCGGGAGGAATTTCAACTTAAAGGTGTTTTTATGGACAGAAAAAAGGCCCAGCTCCTTTTCTCACCACTCAGTTTCAACCTTAGAAAGGCTCAAGGATCTTATGTATGTGAATACTCCATGGAGGGTATTATCTTCAGCTTTTCTGAGGACTGTGTGCAGGCCTGGGGATGAAAATGTGGATTGACAACGTGCAATTAGCGGGGAGAGAGGGCATTATCCTGTCTTATTACCAAAAGTGCTCAGCATAGGTTGGACAGAAACACATCTATATCATTCAAAATGACTATAGTACTTGCAAACAACAAAAGATCTTACAAATATCTGAGGCTTGGAAGGTGTTGGAAGGCATCTTGATCAATGTACACAAGGTTGTTGGCCTTCTCAATTCTTCTGCAAAGAGAAAATGAAACATCAGAGGAAATATATCAATATATTGATCTTAAAATATCTGTGGTTGCCTCATGATGTAGTGGCACTATACGCTGAGATTTTCTTTTTGACAGTAGAAGATCTGCACGATTTCAAAGAGCAGCCTACCACAGACTGGCAGGCTCCACCACCTTTTGATATCAGCAGTGGTTTGAGAATAAGTTTCAGGCTGACCAGGGAAAGAAAGGGACAGTTAGATAAGAAGATGGAAAAGACAAAGGGAAATTTCACATGTTCCTTTATCTCTATGAACTCTACAGAGCTTACCTGAAACAAACTGCAAAACCTTTGATACTTGCCTATAATGAATCTTTATAATTGTCTCCTTTGAATTTAGATTGCTCATTACTTACATTTCATGTAGTTTGGGAAGGTTGGAAAACACATTTGCTTCTATGACCTCCAAGGCATCATTCTGTGAGATCTCTCTGAAAAATAATTTAAAAGTCCAGATATTTCAAGCCATGGTGAAGTAGAGAATGGACAAGTGAAAAATTCACAAGGCACTTCTTCCTAGATTACTGATGAGTTTCAAAAATAAGGTGGATATCAGGTAAGAAAACAGACCCCAAAACCACTGATGAGCTGCCACCAAGCCAAACGACAGTCAGGAACAGACATCTTCTGAGGCTCAAGTTTGTATCTGTAATGGCAGTCCTGCACCTCCTGCTGTCATCATTCCCTGTGTATTAGAAGGCAGGGCCCATCCATCATTGGCTATTGGATCTCTGACATCACTAATTACTGATAAAGATTTAATGAAAGCTTTTAACTTGGTGAATAAAAGAGAGGGTGAAAGGTGACTGAAATAGAGAAGACAGCTAAAAAGTTCCCAGAAAATATGACACAACTTCAGCAGTAGGACATAATGCTGTCTTGACCTGACATAAATTACAGATATTAAAATTAATCCACCAACAGACACATCCTTATTAGCAGGAGCTGGAGACCACAGAAGTGAAGAATCCTTCCATACCTTGGAGAAACCGCTATTTGATCTCTTCTGTATACAATTAATGTCCACTTCCAGCCACAGAACTGCAGAATAAAAATGGCCAGTTTTCTGCTATCAACACACCAGAATGCATCTCCTGCTGGTCCAGAATACATTTTTTTTTTTTTCTCCCTTAATCTGTGGGATGGCAAAGTGGTGGCTCAGGCTCTGGTGTAATTTAGAGCTCAGGAGTTCTCCTGGTGAATCAAGGGGTAATTACTGCAGTGCAACCTGTCCTGATTACGTCCCTTATGCTGGTAATGACCAGGAAAGTTGAAGTAAAGACAGCTATGCCAAAGATTGCCCACTGCCATTTTTGGAAATGGTGCAAAAATGCTATTTACCAGGCTGAGGTCAGCTGTGGGAAGTAAAATTTGTAATACAGATATAACTCGGTGATAGTGTGATGGTCTATTGGATTTTAATGGCAAGGTAACTGTGCACATTTTTAGAATGAAACCTGGATAAACAGTCAGATTGCAAACTGGCTGGCACTTGTTCCTGGATATCTTGTTCTTTTGAAATTATATTGGTTGCAAATAGATTCGAACAGGCCTGAGGTAAAACAATAGATTGTAATGATAGGTGCAGAGTCACAAAAATAATCACAAAAATTATTACAAGTAATATAAAAAGTATTTCACTTCTTTCTGACTAACAACTGAACTGTACCTGACAAATTACATGCCCATTTAAGACAAACAAAAGCCTTGCAAAAGAAGATATGTTGCTCATCTGACCTTTTCTGCTTTAAAAATGCCTCAGGGGTTTGATATTTTTTGTTTTAATAAGAAGCTCTGCCTCCTGTTTCCTCAAGGTTTTTACAGAAGAAACCTAGCTCTTCTCTGCTCTGGGAGCTCTATACTGACTGGACAACAGCAAAATAAAAGTACATGAGGACTGGCAATAGGTGCTCGGTAGGGTGCTATGAGAACTGGGTTTGTTTAGCAGTGCTGAACCACCAGCTCACATGTGAACATGTTCCTCTGTATTATTTAGGTTTCAGCAACAACAAAATTCTTTGACTGAGACTGGGATTCCTTCACACCATGCAAGGTCCACAGCCATTGCAAGGGATGTTTCAAAGACTTTTTATTCTCTTCCTGTTTTCTTTAAAAATAATGTATTATAAGATATATGGTAGAAGCAATCCCCCCTTATGCTGTATTTATATGACAGTACAATTCACTTGCTTAACTACAGTCTAGAAGATTGGGAAGTGTCTCAGACTTTTAAGATTCGGTTTGGTTTTGCTCGTGCTCTTTTTGGGTGGTCAGCAGTATATTTGCCATTCCCCACAATCTAAAAGTCAGTTGTCTAGAAAAAAAAAATTCACAGAAAAAGCAGAACATTTAATACGAACAAATCCATTTAGCCAGAAGAGATTTCATGCCACTAAACAGCTCAGGGAAAAATGTTGCAGATTTGCTGGCCTTATACAGGCAAAAAAAAGTTTATTAAGAAACCACAATATAGTAGTGACCTTATCCGACAGATAGGGCTGTTGAGGGTAATAATTTTTTATAATCCAATCTGCTATCTAACTCTGGAACAACTTGGACTATATACCTCTTTTAATGGAATGTTTAAAACTGAATGTTTCTGCATCAGGAGAGTGTTTTGGCTTCCTAAGAGTGGGATGAGTTATGGGCTTTGTTTTGGTTTGAGAAATCAAAGATGCAGATCTGATTGAAGTAGGGCATGAGCAGGCCATGACACTTTGGAAGGCTTAGAGAATGCATGGTTAAAGAAGGAATGAAAGAGAGGTAGGAAGATAAGAATCCCTAAAATGTTTTTACAAGATTAAGATTTTAAAAGATTAAGTTTTTAAAAGATTAAATTTTTAAAAGAATTAAATAACACTTGGATGAGGGGGGCATTTCAGAGATTTGGGGAATGACTTGGCTTTCATTCTAATATTCCCATTCACAGGTACAAAGGCGATAGTAATTTTTTTTTTTAACAGGTAATGAAAATATGTCCATTTAAAATTATTTTGGCTGTCTTCCAGCTCAAGCAAACAACTAATGCAGCCGTTGTGGTTATGAGCCTCTCAAGACAAGTAAAGGGAACAAAAGGGAAACTCATCAATAGCAGAAGGCAGTAGTCCTTCTGGTGTTGGGCTTCGTTCTCTGTGTTCATGGCGTTGCGAGGAGTGAGGGAAAAGGACAAGACCCTCTGTCCCCTGCAATGAATTGTGCATCCTCTGCTACACCCTCTCCAGGAAATCCTGTTGGTGATGACCTTACTCATCATTGGTCGTCACAGCTGAATCCCAGTTTACAGCATTAAAGTGCTGTTTTCTGACAGAAGGCCCTTGCTGTTTTTGTCCTTTGAGGTGTCCATATATGTGTTACAGTCTGTCGTTCAAATAAGAAGGATCAATTAAAAAAAAGCATTCAGTTTAGGAGATCAGTCACACACTGTGAACGATGGGCAGCACTAGTCTGGGTTTTGGTTGCATAATTTGTGTGAACAATTTATTCATACCTGGCAAAAAAGGCACACCCTGCTCATAGAAAACTGAAAGAACACTATATGGGATACAGGTATCTCTGGCATTAAAAGTACAAACCACTGCTGCTTACATCGAACAACCAACTCAGCAGACTCAGATCCTCAGTAGAGGAGAGAAAATAATACCTGCAGCAGCAGCTACAAACAGAAAAAGGGGATTGCTGGCTAGTATTTGTGCAAGTGATTTGTCTTACAGTATAAATACACACAAACAGATGATTGCTCATAATGCATATCTTATTATATGTCATCACGAGAGAAGATGGGACTGTTATTACGTTGTTTGTTTGTAATGAATAATACTATTAGCTCTACTGCTAGCTATCATAGCAAATCCAGATGGCAATTTGAGCATCATTTCTGATGCATGCAAGCCTTTGAATAGATGGTATGCAAAACAATCAGGGGCAATTTCTTAAAAAAACACAAACCTCCAAAACCCCAAACCACCCAGTGGCTGCAAAGTGCTTAAGCATCTGCTAAGCTTAGTTTTCACTGCATGCACAGCTCTATTGAAATCACCAGTGATCCTCAAAAGCATAAATTGTTTACTCAAACACAGCCTAAAAGAGGGAAAACTATTCAACAAAAATGTTTTACAAAGGCACAAAGAATAATTGTTTTTATTTTTCTTCAAAGAGAACGTAAGATTTTAAGGTGTGACAACATCACATGACTAAGGAATTTCCTTTAATTTGACACTAACATAGCAAACTGTAATCATTATTACCCATTCACAAGCAACTGACTGCAGTGTAGCATTTCCATGTGCGATAGCCAGAGCCAGGGACAGTAGCCTAGCGGTAGTACAGTCTTGGCTTGGTGTAACCTGCCTGCAACACTGCCTTTAGGCAGGGCTGGGAGTACATCTTCATGACATCTGTGACAGAGCCCAGCATGAAGCACAGAAAGTAGTCCTCTTCAAACCAGCTACACTCAAAAGCACGACCCATAAAAATCAAGATACATTGAAATGGCCTTTTAAACAATTCTATTAACAAGGAATTTATAGTTCATGGCAGTTTCTTTGTAGTCCTCTAAAGAAAAAGTCTCTTAGACTAATCAAAGTTTTATAGCAAAAGCAAGACTGTATTAAACTCACAAACTAATGGTCTTGCAGCCAAGTGGTCTCACATTTCAAAATAATGAAAGAATAAAAGACTGGACATTTATGTATCTTTTATGATAAGAATTCCTTTCAGGATCAGAGCTGGGAACACAGACAGGGACAGGGTCATTTTTCCCCTGCTAGAAAATGTGCCTGTTTAAAACAAATGTGTGTGTGTGTGTATGTATGTGTGTATATCTACAGATATAGAAGTTTAACATAGATGAGTAAGTAGAAAATTGCGTCAAAAGAAGAGTAAAGCATACGCATGGCAGAAGACCACCTTAGAGGCAGATCACAGCATCAGTCCCTTACATGGTGCCCAGGGACGTATGCTCTCGAGCACGAAGACCTTGTAATACCAGCAGCAGG